GCTTTGAAATTGCCGATTGAGCTCAATGGAATGATGGCGCGGTCGGGCTGGTCAGCGATTGGTGAACGAATTGTGGAAGGAAGGGAAAAGGAAAATGGCTAAATGCTGCAGATGTCGTTGAAAGGTTAGTAGACAGCTTTCATTTGTATTATAAATATATTTTATTTTAATGTTTGCAAGATAATGATTTCTACATCTACTGTATTTTCGATGAGCGATTACCGTTATCGGGTGGAGACTATAGGGCGACGGCGATGTTCGGCATTTGCTTTGTTCGCCGAACTCCACGTGCCTTCCGCCATTTAGACTTATTTTATTGCTAATTTACGGGATGTTTTATACATAAAGGTATTTAACTCTGAGGGCGAACTATAGTGCCACAATTTTCATTGATTTTTTGTACAAATACGATTTTACAATACGTTCATTATTGACTGGTGTGTTGAACGGCGGCGTGGTCGTGGAATATAAAGTAAAGAGCTTACAGACAGCTAACATTGCAAATTGTCGCAGGAGTACGATGGCGGCCGGCGGAGAATTCGTCGAAGGGTGGTTGGTGGCCCAAGTTCTCGGGGAAGGTTCTTACGGAGAGTGAGTGTTTCGTAGTTTATTTATCAGCCGGCGTTTTCAATGCAAGTTAAGAATGTGTGCAATTATCATAGGCTACAACGTTATTAGTGGTGTGCATACAGTAGTCGAAACCTATAGCCGGGAGAAAGAAGCCTTGCAATTTGGTCAAGGAATCTTATGACAAGGCCATCCAGCTAAATGTGAGTTTATTCATGTATTTTATTATTGTATATTAATAAATCATACTAATAACAATAATAATTACAAATTACATTTTTGGTTTTTAATGATTAGTAAAGACAAAAATTTTTTGGATATATAACCCAGTATTGCCCCCACTGTGAAGCGACTGAATGCTTGTTGTACCTATTGTAATTGTATGAAAAATAGTGCACATGTGGTAATAATAGATGTTAATTTAACAATTGTAATAAATAACTATGGAAGTACCATAACAAGCAATGCAATCCTGACTTGTTAATTGGTTAAAGTGTAGAGTGGAACAAAATGATGAGGTACTGGAGTCCTAATAGTGGAACTTTTCCCTTTCTAATATTTAAACTATGGATAGATAGATAGATGTAGTAGATTTGATCAGCAGGAATAAGGATAATAAATCTTTCTGCTTCTCTGTATTATTGTCATTTGTCATGGGAAACAAAATAACAATTGTTTTGTTAGCTTTTAGCGAGTAACTTAATATATGGAGAGCAGTAGCTATTAAAAATGGCCTGCGGCCAATTTAATTGGCTTTCGGAATGTTCATGGTAATGTTAAATGGAAGTAAAAAGTGGCAAACTTGTAAGCAACCTTATAGGAATAGTTAAGATAGTGAAGTGGTAGTTTCCCTTAGAGATTTGTAACAAGCTAATGTGTTGCATATGCTGACTTTGAGGATTCACATGTAGCAAAATAATGTAGTGACATTGAATATGTTAACGGATATAGGGGAAGATGAACAGAAAATAGTATTTTCCTTCCCTACCTCTGCCAATTTCACATCCGCTTTCCACCCGCCTTCTTATTGCAAAAAGATGGGGAAGTGGAGTCGCCTAGATTTGGGCTCCCAGCACCTCATTTTTTGGAAGCAACAAAGAACTTGAAGTCTGTCTTATGTGAGGCCTAGGTATCGCGTCGGTGGTCGGTCTTATATAATCGGCCTTCGGTCCATGTCCTTCTGTAAGGTTGTTACCATTTAAAAGGGTTTATGCCGGAGCAGTAAGCCTGGTATCGCTGAAATATTATTAAGAAGCAGGCGCGGGCGGAACTGATGCGCGGCAACAACATGGTCGCCGACGCGGCCGCCGCCATCCTTGAAAGTTTATCCACCCCGCGCCCGCGCGCTCGGCGTCGTCGAACGTTTTTATGCGCCTCAATATTTTTGGTCACGCTCTTATAGTATACCGCATAACGAAGCCGAGCTGTCGGCAGCTTCGCCTCGGCGGCTGACCGCGTGTCGCTCTACTGACGGAGCAGAGCGCAGCGCGCCTGGGCGCAGTTCAGCGCAGCGCGCATCGCGCTCTCTAGCAAAGCACACCCCAAACTACTTACGTAGATATTTTACTTGCACAGCTATTTATGCTTCTACGTTTCCTAAAAACTTGCACCAATAGTTAAGTGAATAGAAAGTGAAAATATTGGTGTCAATTTTTTTTCGTTACGGCAAAATTATATGAATTCAAAAAAAATCTGAGAAAAGAGTTTGTGAGCATTAATGAACGATATTACAAAAATCGATTAGACAACCTATATCTATCCCTGCTTACTTATAAATATAAAAAAGAAGAAAGGTTTGTATTTTTGTATATATTGGAATAACTCAAAACTCATACGTTATCAGTGAATATCATGGATAAGGTTTCTTATTATTTTTGTTAAATTGAAGCGGACGAATTCGCGAGCAACAGCGAGTAAACAATAAATGTATGCGTTTTATTAGAGGATGTGTATTTTTAAAAATAAAATTATCTCATAAAAAATAAACAATATGAAAAACTGCGGAGTCTCGCTTCCCTTACTAAAATGTGTTAGATGTCATGCAACACCCAGTCATTTTATTTAATGAACCATATATTGTGAAACGGAGCAATTACACGGCACCATCATTTCGGAAGAATACCACTTGCTGCTATCCCATTGTTATCTAAACCTAAGCAAAGATCTCGAGAATGACGTATTTTATTTAGAAGTTTATTGGCGGCTTGCTCCTGCGCCAACGGCAAGGTTCAGGTTCATAATAGACACTCATTCAAAATACTAGATTTACATGACATCTAACACATTTTTGGGGAAACGAGACTCGGCAGTTTTTTATATTTCTTATTTTTCATGTAATTTCACTTTTTTTTTGTAGGATATCCTATTTAAATTTTCCTATTCCCCATATTAAAAACTAAAAAAAGTATGGATTTTAGATTTTTCCCTTTATACATTGACTACTACCTACCTATATTCAAAATTTCAAGGTTGTG